TATTGTTCAATGTTGCTCTTGAAGATAGTAGGTTTTAATTAGTGTATGTTTAACTTTCCTTTTCCTAGAGTATACTTGACATTTGTTATCATTGAATATAGTTTTTGCATCAGGCTTAAAACCTTCTTCTTTAGACTAAAAGGGGAATTTTAGGCATCTGGTCAGTGAACTTGTAATGGTGGCCTCTCCTCCTTGAGCATGGCCTCAGGCAGATGGAAATGGAAAGAAAGGAGCTTGAGGAGTGGCTTTTCTTGGCATGCTCTTTCAGGTGGGTCAAATCATCCAGTAGGAAGAGCAGGGAAATACTCCAGTGGTTCTTTTTTTTTCTGTGTAGTTGTTCCCCAATAAACACCCAATTATCATCTATCTTGGGTCTGGTGATATAATTACATCCTCGCCTTCACAAGTCTGTGTTTCCTTGCCAGAACCTAGAGACTCTCATCTTCACTTTGAGTGAAGAGCCAGGTGTACCAGACCACTTGAAATAAATACCTCATATAGGACATTTAGTGGACTTGAGCCACTTCCCTTAATCACTGGCACCTTGTAAAGGAGACCCTCTCAGGTGCACCCTCACACTGTACCCCTCTAGGGTGGAGCTCCCACATGCATTTCAGTATCTATCTTCTCTTCAGAGCACTGCTTGGGAAAAGGGTCTGTGTCTTGGAATCATCTTTCCATCCACAAAAGTTCTCAAGGACCACTCATTTTGGTAACTGATTTCAATATATATGAATATATATGAAATAATGGATAGACAGATAATTAGAGCAAAGGATTTGGGGAAATACAGTTCATTAACTGTAAGGGAATTAATTTTATATATAATGCCTGCTCTGAAAGCTAGTTAAGTTTTCTGACCTTGGCTGTGTGTGACACCAGGCAAGGCCACATACTGCAAAGCTAATTTAGACTTCACTAAAGAGGCTGGATCCAATTTAAGATAATTACCATGCTTGAGAAACCCTGAAAATACCAGGACACAGAAGCTAAGAGATGTGCTCTAAACTACATGATAAGCAGCTCTAGGGATGTAAGGGGCTCTAAGGATCCCAAACCTATTGTGAGGATCCCCAACAAAAGCTTCCTTTTTCTGAAGGCATTAGCCAGGCTTTTGGAAGCTTGCAGAGCACTGAGGTGGGAGAATTTCAGGGAGAAATTGTTGAAAAAAATGTGTTGGAAGAGTTTCTAGCTGTCTATAATCTGAGAGTTGGGTTGTGACTATTCAAACAAGAGGGCAAACTGAGTGTGTGAATACCCAGCTTAAGCAGAGTAAACAAGACATGTAGCTTAGAGCTCTCATGGAGGGAGGGATTTTCTGTCATCAAGGATTTTATAATTGTACTTAAGGGCCAAGATTTCTGGGTGTGTGTCCAGCACAGCAGGGGGCCAGCACACCAGTACATTCTCCTTTACTACAGACCAGAGTTGAAAACTTACTGGATTGCAAGCCTGTTTTTCCATGATGTGCCTTTGTGCTCTGATTCTGGTGTCTCTGTCAGCATGCATGGCATTGGGTGAGTTCTTTTAAATACAAGTCAAAAATATTTGCTTCAGGTAGAGGTAGACAGAGATGTGTGTATAAAAAAGGCAAGATAGATCTAACTTGGCAGGGTTTTCATTCTCTCAAAATGGGTTTCTTTGTGGAGTGGCCCAGACCAGGGTTGCCCTGAGCCTGAACACAGTGGGATTAGGAGAGTGCAATAACTCTGAGATCCAGTAGCACACGATGGTGCAGAAAGGAAGGAGTCAACCTGGGTCTCACAAAGAGGGACAAGGACATTTCAAGTTCCTACTTTTATGAACTGTACAGTGGATTAGATAGATTTTTGTTTGTTTTTTTCTAAAGTGCATAGCACGGTGGTTGTTGAAAGAAAGTGTAAAAAATGCGTGGTTAAACAAGGATAGTTTGCAAATGAAGTGGATTAAAAGAAAAGATGTGGTCAGATAAACACACCATAATCTAATGACCATTGGAAAGGCATTTGTTATTAGGGATTCTTAAGGGAAGGGGTACAGAACTGGGTGTAGAGCAAAGGAGCAGAACCAGGTTCTGCCAGGGAACACAGGAGTAGGGAATCTTGGCTCTTTCGGATCTCTTCTGAACACAGAGGAGAAGCAGTATAAGTAGGTATAGGATTTGTTTGAATTGCAAGGAATACTAGGGAATGCTACCTGCTTTGATTGTGTGGTATAAGGTTCTAGGGACAAAGGCAAAGAAAATGATCCATGCTATGAGGTCTGGATAAAGGAAGTGGCAGGGGTACTGACACTAGATTAGACAGATGCTAAGAGTGACAGTTCCTACAGGGCAATGGGGTCCTAAACGTGAAAACATCAGACATACAGATTACATTTACAGTTAGTATATGGTGTACCATTGAGTCTGAACATACAGTCCTGAACATACAGAACATAACTCTGGGGAGATCATCTATAAATTCATTATCTGATCTACCTCTGGCCCATGAATTCAGCCTCTTCATTCCTTGAGCTTACATTTTCTGTGGACATAAGATACCGAGGAAGGCCTAGACTGAGTAACAGTAAAAAAGGGATATGGGGAAGAATGCTTCTGTGGTGCTGGTTATCCAGGCAATGCTACCCCAATTCCATCTTTTGGAAGTTCATATTTCCAAATACTGTTAAGTGGGCATATTAGCAGTACCTAGCAAGACTTTGGAGAATATTGAAGGAACTGAAATGTAAATTTGGCATATAAGAAATGTCCAATATATGATAATTCCATACAATGTAAGTGGTACCAACTGTTGGTAATATTCTTGTCATCCAGTCTCATTATAACCAAACACACTTTACTCTGGCTATTATCATGGAAAGTTCATCAGTGAACTAATACCCCTTGATACCTAAGAGATTTGTAACCTGAAACTCAACAATTTTGCCAATTCCTCTTCTCCTATTGCCTAGGCCTCCATGGTACATTTCCTCCTGACAGCACTCTGGTGACTGCTCTCGCTCTAAGCTGTATCCATGCATGTTTTTCATCATTGGATCTCTCTCTTCATTTAAACCTCCTCTTCCTACCATGGAATCAATGCACACACATGCTGTGTACTCTCACTTTAAGTGGGTCACTCTACCTTACCTTCTTCTAGTAATGAGAGGAACAAATCCAGTGATTTTTTCCTTTCTTTTTTGCTTCTTTTTGTCTTATTATTTGTGCAAAGATAGCCTAAACTTTTGGTGATCCTTGGACCTCAGTCACAGCCAAAAACATGTTCCCTCACACCTGACAAGTAGCATCTTTTATGAAGATATTTCACTCACTGTTCATGTCATAAGGAGCCAGCATCACTCACTCACACTTTAGTATACTTTTTTACCTTATGATAATCCCACTTCAGGGTAGGTAACAAGTCTCCATTCCTCATATTTCCCCATATTTCATAGAAATTTCTTCCTAATTATATATGGACCCAGTCCTCAGATGATAAATGTCTTCAAGTTCATGAGACAACTTCAACATGCACTGCTGCCATCTGTGGATCTCCTCATGTCCAGGTTCTGGTGACATGGCAATAATTAACACCAGTGACAAAAGTAGAAAAATGTAGGATTGGCTTCTGGTGGCATTAGGCATGACCCCAAGCTTGTAACTCGGATGTCCCTAAAGAGTTTACAGTGTTAATATCTCTTATCTCTATAGAGCACATCTTAGATTTTGGATGTGGTTATGTCTTGATAATCTAATGATCTTAAAGTAAAAACATACATCATTAGCTAGATGCCATTAAATCAAAACATAATAAATTGGGCATCACATGTACATCTCTACTCCAATGTTCATTTGGCCTTGTTTACCAATAAATTACAATTAGGAACAGGAACAATGAAAAATATTTCAAATGTACCCACTCTGCTGGTGGCTATCGAAACCATGTGTCGTGGATACCATTTTCTAAGTTACTTTCCCATGAAAGTAGCTATTTTCTTTTCTGTTTGAAAGAGTCTTTAATTTTCTCTTGGGTACACATTTTAAGGACATGTACTTTTCATCCACAGCATCTGTAAACAGTGATACTCTGACAACATGACCACTAACCAAATGATGAAACATCAGGATTGTTGATGGTGAGGTATAGTCTCATGAAGAAGATCCCACAGCAGATGTAATACAGATGAGTTAGCTTCAAGGACACAAGGAAGGATTGCCTGCTTTGCAAGAATGGAGCCAATGGCTCAGACAGGGCCTGATATCTAGTCCCCTTTACATTTAGGTGGCCTTACAGAGAATCACCAGAGTATTTAGAAGATCATTGTGTTCTTGGAACCAAACCTGTTACTGCTGCATACTAGTCCATGGCATGAAACCTAATGTCATCCCTATTCCTAACTTGCATCTGCTCATCCTGGATTAATTTGCCCTTCCTACAAAATTCTGCCAACAGTGATATGCTACCCTCTCTCTGTAGCCATGCCCGGTGATATTCTCTCTTATTCTTATTTCTTCTTGCTTAGTTATCCCTTAACCTTTCATCTTTCCTAACTTATCTCAAGAACCAGTTCCAATGTGGTGACACCAATCAGAAGGCCTCTTTCATTCTTCTAACTCCAATGACATCTATCTGATTCTTCTCACAGGATGCACCTCTTTCATCTCAGCATTTGCTTAGTCATTCTGAGATAACAGGTAACTTCTTGTTTGTTTCCTCATCCAACATGTGTCTCTGCCCAGGATCTTATTGGATAAGAGTCTCCAGAGACTTCTAAGAGGCAAACCAGGGTCTTGTTTACTGAGTCTATCCTCTGTTTGCAGTGACTTTTAGATAGATACTTTTCTAGTTAAATTTCAGCTTACTTTTTATTTGGTGCTCTCACATAAGGACAGTTTTCTTCTTAGTCTTTGTATGTCAAAAGCAAATGAGACATAAAATTTCAAGTGATTTATTCAATGCCACAACTTCAAAGTGCCCAAAACCACCTAGAACCCAGGTCTGACCTTTTCCTACTGATGAATTTATGTGTCATTTCTTTGTCTAGCAGGACACCCATACTTACCACCTGTGGTGAACACTGTCCATGGCAAAGTCCTGGGGAAGTATGTCCACTTACAAGGATTCACACAGCCTGTGGCAGTCTTCCTGGGAGTCCCCTTTGCCAAGCCTCCTCTTGGATCCCTGAGGTTTGCTCCACCACAGCCTGCAGAGCCCTGGAACTTCATGAAGAATGCCACCTCCTACCCTCCTATGTAAGCCACTCCTTCAGTTAGGAAATATGTCTCTGGGTGATGCAGAAAGAAATCAAAAAAAAATCTCTGATACATTGTTTTGTAGTCCTTCATGAATACTATAGAATCATTTCTGAACGACAATAGTTTTCTGGAGCCTCTGTTCTGCCATGAGCCTGGTATTCTCCTGTATGAAGACACACTAATGAACCAAAATCAAACTCCTAGAAACATTGAGCTAGGTTTTAGTGCAAAGGAGAGGACAGAGAAAGCATAGAAGTTAACAAATAAATAATGCAATAAGTTAGAATATGATAAGTAAGGAAAAGAGATATTCCAGTGTTACCTATCTTAGTGCTATCTCTTCTTTGCTGAAAATTGTAGGGGACATGAAGAAGAGAATGCCTCCATCACATATGTCTAGCTGCCCACTAACAATCTGAACAGTGCTTTGTGGGCTCCAGTTATCCTGTTCAGATGGTGAAATGATGGCAGTTCTATATGGCCTCATAGCCACCCCCAGAGAATCCAAGACCCTTACAAATACCACTTCAGATGTTATTTTTCTCCTAAGTAAGGGGCATCTGAGGACACTCAAGGTTCCACCTGTAGCTGCTTTCCTTTATATCATATCTGTTGTTTCTACATTCTGATCCCAAATGTAATACGAATACTGCAGACAAGTCAAGAAACATACAGAAATAAATGTAAGAAAACAAAAGCCACATTCAATATCCCTATCACAAGAGATCTGTTATTATAACATTAATATTACTTTTTGGTCATTTGTCTGTTCTCTTTACCAGACAATTGTTCTTACATTCAGAAAGTTTAGTTTGTCTCCAGGCTTACAGCTGCCATCAATGCCACTCTGTCACTAAGTATCACAGCCTGATATTTAATAGCAACATAAAATCCAACAGGGAACTGCAAGGTGTCTGCTCAGTCTCTAACTTCATGAAATTGTCTTTGGTGTTCTTGATCGTATAAATGATGCTGTGATCTTATGACTAATAATTGTAGATATTTATGAATAAAAGCCTCTTGTTAAGTATCCCTCCAGGTATATTTAGGTCTGTCTGCTTCCTCCATGGATATATGAGAACATTTATTCATAGACACTAGCCAGTGTTTGGGCTTATTAAAATAATAATTTGTGGGATCTGAAAAGAGCAATTTAGAGCAGTTGCTGAGTTTGCAAAGGACCAGAGCTTAGTTCTCATCAGCAACATTAGGTGACTCACAACTGCCTGTTAATCCTTCTCCAGAGCATTTTACGCACTCTTTTGACCTTGATGGGTAGCCTTACACTCTTGTATACCCTCACATATACATACATATATGTGTAAATAAAAATGAATAATGTGTGACTCTTAAGTAAATAAGATATTATATAATAACTGTGACAAAAACAAATTGTTGTGAGATTTATTTTAATGACAGTGAAGTTGAATATCCCTCATTTGATAATTTGAATTATTACTTTTGACTTAATTTGAATTATTGCTTTTGTTGACATTAAGAATGCCTCCAGATAAGCTAGACATACCTTTTCTGGTTTCACTTGAGCCTCTTGACAACTTCTTCATTCTGGCACTGAGAGCCTCACTTAGACATAAGGAGGACAGTGTGACTTCCATCTGTGTCACATAAGATTGGATAATGTTACTTATAATTTACTTGAATTAAAAGCAATTTACAGCCTGGATCATCCTAGCTGTGTGACCTTGGGCAGACTTTCAGACTCCCCTGTCTTTGTTTCCTCATCCACAATCTGAGAGTAAAAATAGAATTCATGTGTGGGGAAGGTTTGCTGTTTGTACCTTAGGAGAATTTAAATCAATGCCAGACACAATTGCTACCTTTTCACCCCTGTAATCAGTTATCACAGAATACAGTAGTCATTGCTGGGATAAGAAGACAATAAAAAGCCTGATATCCCACCCCCTTAAGCACTCACCTCACATGGACACGGAAGTTTGGAAACCAGAGCAAAGCATGAATTCACTCAAAGCCTTCCAGCTCATCAATGGCAAAGACAGGAGAGAAGGCAGTTCTGATGAGAATATCCCACAAAGCTATCACTCCTGACCTACACCAGGCTGTCATTAGAGGTAGCCCTTCTGGTTAACAGAAGTCTCCCAAGAGGTAGAGTATGGAGGAGCACATATAGCCCACAGCCTACTGTACAAAGCACTTTGGAGTGCAGAGCCCTGTGGCATGGGTATATCATTTCCCAGAGCACTCACCATATGAGCATTTCTGGTTTTGGCCCAAGCTTCCCAAAGGCTCTCTGGAAATGGTGAGGCATCAAGTAGATCTCTATCTTCAGGGTTGGGAGACTCTTAGAGTCCCAAGGTTCCTACTAGTATTCTTAGATACCCTCTTACCAATTGCATCTAAGTCTGGTCCAGTGAAAATAGCTCTATTCACAGCATTACGCCTTTAGGGTGAACTTTTCAGATTTGTTCTGGAGGAGAATCTACTCTTTTCTTTTCTCCTCCTAGGTGTTCCCAAGATGCAGCTGCAGGTCAGATGGCCCATGACTTCCTAATGAACAATAAGGGGCAAATTCAACTCCAGTTTTCTGAAGACTGTCTCTACCTGAATATTTATACTCCTGCAGACTTGAGGAAGAACAGAAATAGGCTGCCAGTAAGTACAGAGTCCAGTGACTCAGATTTTTGAGTTCCAGCATCTAGATCTTTGTGCCACTAGAAGACAACAGCATCAGCTGGCACAGGGCACCATGGGCAGACTGACTGCAGGTTTCCTCTGACCACACCTTTCCTTGTTTCACAGTTGCCCAACGACATCAGATTTGTTGCCCACCTGGAATTGCATCCTTATTTTGCATACTGTCTTATGGTACTAAAAGGAAAAAGGCTATTTTCAGCTTTCAGTTATTACATTAGGATCTGACCCCAGAGCACCCAAGACAGAATTTACAATGATGTTAGTGCATAAAAGAATCTTAGAAAAATGAATATCCCAAGCCTTTCTGTACAGATAGAGAAACTGAGGCTCAGGTAGGGAAGGGAGGGCACACAGAAGGAAGGGATCACAGGACAAGAGCTTGTGTCTTTAGACTTCACACCCATACTCCTAGGCAGGGGCTGGCGGGGGGATATGGGCTGCCTTTCTCCCCACATTACCTGTGATAAATTTTACTGCCAGGTGGGAACTTTCATGGCCCATGAAGGCCATATGGAGGGAGGAGTTTGGGGTAATTTAATAAGTACTTCTCATGTCTGTTGCCAACTACATGTGATTTTATTGTAGCTCCTTCCACTCCCTAGTTGCCTTTGGCATGTGCTGATGGCCTAGTGAGTCAGCATTTCCTGTAGAAATTAAGAGGACACACTGCCAGTTATAGGTCAAAGACTTAAGTAGGACTACTATAAAAGAGATGATCCTTGAAGTAGAATAAAACAGGGTGTGAGAACCCACACAGTCCCCCAGAATCCTCTAGGATAGAACTCAGAAATGAAGGAGGAGGCTGTGATCTTGGGAAGAGTATTTGGTCCTAAGTATGCAACGTTTGTGTAAGGAGGTGAGAAAAAGTCTCACTTCTACTTATTCACTTGATTCTATTGTGGACTTTGTGTGTCTACACAGTCACACTCCAGGTCAGAGGAAATAGGAACATAGACCATTGTGGAGAGCCATGTATGGCAGGGCCTTGTCATATGGTCTGCACATACATCACAACATCTTGAGCATGTCTTTACCCACCAGTCCTTGAGCTCAGGCTTTACTCAAGATGAATTTGTCTCAATCTTTCCTTTGACATAATCAGTTCAATAGGAGGAGGACTAGGATCTCTAGGAGCCAAGGGGTAGGACACTCATCAACAACATTCTCAAGGCCTTTACCACAGGGTATGGGTCTGAATCCTTGATCTACATTTCACTTGCTAAAGGACCAAGCCATGGTTTACTTTCTCAGCTTCTTCTCCTGAAACAGGAGTTATCTGGGTGGACACTCAATGGTGACTCTCTAGCCAATCAGAGATCAGTAGACAGGACAGCATCAGCAATGCACCAGAAAGAAAGGATTATAGCCTTACATTTTGTTAACAATGCCCTAGAGTTTCAGGGGTTCAGATTTCTGTCCAGCAGCAATTTACTGAATTGTGGCCATGAATTAGAGGCTATTGTGTGCTTGGCCTAAAGTCTACTCACAATCCTAGGTGTTCTAGGTACTAATGTAATTAAATGATTGAAGACTTCATAGAGGATGTGGATGAGAACAGGGCTTTGCAGGATGGGGGAGAACTTGCATATGCAGAGGTTCCAGAGAGAGGGACCACTGGGAAAGAGTGCCTTTGAGGATGTGAATGGATATTAGGACAATCCTTCAGGTACATTAGTATTAACAGAGCTGAAAGTAAAATTTGAATACTGCCTCTGGCTAATTTTTAGAGATCAGGATGGTGTAGTGGTAGAGAGCACATGACATCCCTGGCCCCCTTTTTTTCCCATGACAATGGTCAAAAAAAAAAAAAAAAAAAGATTTCTTTAGTATGTATGTATACAGTGTTTGCCTTAATATATCCCTACAGGCCATAAGAGTACTAGATCTTGTTAGAAATGGTTGTGAACTGTCATGTGGCTGTTGAGAATTGAACTCAGGACCTCAGAAAGACCATCCAGTTCTCTTAATCTTTGGGCCACCTCTCCAGCACTTATAATGCCTCTTACTTTGAAAAGACCTGAATAGACACAGACCAGGATGGGTCCATGGGGAAAAGGAGACGAGGATGACAATGATGACATCCAGGGCCTAGCCAGGCACAATGAGGACAGAGACCACCTTTTGCAATCTGCTTCCATTCCTTGAAGTTAGGTGGACCTAGAAAACCAGACCAGAAAACATATGAGCTCCTTCTCAATTCTACTTCCTATGACCAGGATGGTTCTTTTCTTGTTGCCCAGGTAATGGTGTGGATCCATGGAGGAGGACTGGTAGTGGGTGGGGCATCCACCTATGATGGACTGGCCCTCTCTGCACATGAAAATGTGGTGGTGGTGACCATTCAGTATCGCCTGAGCATCTGGGGATTCCTAAGGTAGGTGTTTGGATCCTCCTATCTGCCTTGTTAGACTGCATGGGTCTTTTTTTAAATAGCAACATACCTGAAACTGGTTGATGATATAGAAGACAGATTTACTAGGCAGAGAATCTGGGGGCCCCTAAGTCACAAAATAGACTGGGCTATTTCAGCAGAGCTGGGTGGGGAAAGGCTCTACCTTACAATGTAATAGTGGAGGAAAATAATTTTAGTCTGTAAGATAAAGGGCAAAGCACATGAGAAGATAATAAGGTGGGGAGAAGGGAGGGCAGGTAAATGTCTTACTTTTCTTTTTATTGCTGTGATAAAATATGATAACCAAAAGCAGCTTAGGAAAGAAAGGTTTTTTGGCTTATGCGTCCCAATCATATTTGAATATTGAGAGAAGATAAGTCAGGAATCTTTGAAAAGAACTAAAACAGAGACTATGCAGAAATGCTCTTCCTGGCTAGCTTTTAAAGCTCACTCATCTTACATTTAATATATTGGAGGACAACCCACAGTAGACTGGGACGCACCCATCCATTGTCATTAATTAAGAGAATGACTCTACTAGCTTGCCTACAGGTTAATTGGATGGAGGCATTTTGTCAATTGTCTTTCTCTTTTTCTAGGTGATTCTAGCTTGTTTCATGTTGACCAAGTGTGTGTGTGTGTGTGTGTGTGTGTGTGTGTGTGTGTGTGTGTGTCTGTGTGTATAAACTCACACAGGTACAAACTTACTGTCTAAAGAAATAACCTGATTCCCCTGAGCACACAGATCCTAAAGGAACACCACAGTGTGACCAATGACCTCAGTACTTTCTACTGGGCCTCACCTTCCACAGATTTTATCACTGTGTAATGCTTGGTCTCCTTAGGGACCAAGACCCCAGCACATCAACCCTTGTCACATCAATCATATCCAAACCATGGAATCTGCAAAATCAAAAAGGAATTAGTGATGTGATTCTTCATGAAGATGTTTGCTGAGTTTCTTCAAGATGTTCACAGTTCTCGTTCTTGGACCATAACCCTCTTCTTTTCCAACCATATTGGTCCACTTCCTTCTGGGCTCACTTTTGGGATGTTTACTGCACTCACCAAATTTTCACTTGCCCTGGGAGACCCACTCTTCACATTGCTGTCATTAATTCCTCATCCATTTTCACCTGTGCTGCTCAGCTCTCTGCATTCCTCTAATGACAGGATCAGCACCAGCATTGCCCCTGAATGTTTGATGTCTTCTCACAGGAAAATATGGAAGGAGTGGGCTCATGTAGAGAACTCAGTTAGTAGTGTTTCAGGAAAGTTTTTTTGTACTATCTACACTGCCAGACTATTCTCAAGACCAACCATGAACTCTACCAGTGCTCACCCCAAGCTTTTCTGGCTCACCGCACCAGCCACAGATGATCTATTCTGGCCTCTTTGAGATGCTCCGGTTCATGGCTTTGACTGGTGGCTCCTTCTCAGTCCTTCCTTACTCTGTTTTCAAGCTATATGTGTCTCCCTCTCTACTAGCTCCCTGAGTGACCCCAGAAGTACTTAACACAGTTCCTGTTTATAGTCTCCAGCTTTTGAACCTCGATGCTTTTCTTTTGCTAACACCTCATGTCCCCTCTGGTTGTGTGCAGGGCACATCCCACTTCCCAAGACCTTGGTCACCAAGTAATTGTTCCCTACAACAAAGACCTTGTTTGTTTCCCATAAGATCCTCTGCATAGCTGCTAGCAGCTCCAACTTTCTGAGTGACTTGGACAAAGTGACCTTTGGGCTCCTCCTTTTCTCCTAGCCCACATCCAACATCCATTCTCTTTATTTACTAATCAAAGTCCTAAGTCTCTAGCCTGTTATAAGGCCCTAGTTTATAGAAGCATGTTCATTTATTATGAGAGTACTTCACTTAGTTTCTAGGATGCTCTGGGAGATGACTGAGTCATGTCAGCCCTCTGCATAATGTAGCCCATTATTTACAATATCCCAGAAACTCTCACCAGGTCTCCTAGTCCCAATATATATACATCTCACAGCAACCACCCTCACACTGCTAGCCCTAGGATTTTTGTAACTGATACTTCTCCTAACCTAAATTTCATTCTTTGTATCAGCAGTTCTCAACTTTCCTAACCCTGCCACCCTTTAATACAGTTTCTCTTGTTGCAGTGACCCCCTTATCATAAAATATTTTCATTGTAATTTATAACTGCAATTTTGCTACTCTTATAAATCATAATGTAAATGTCTGATATGCAACTACCAAAGGGGTTATCACCCACAGTTTAAAAATCGATTCCCTAGATGCTAATAGGACCCATATTAATTTTACTTAGGACTATAACAAATGCCACTGTCTCAGTGAGGCTTTCTCTAGTCATGAGACCTGAATACTACCTCATGATTTTATGTCTGCTTTTTTCTTTGTGGTTTTCTTTTTCCAGTGGCATGATATACCCTTCGTATCTGTTTGTTTTGTTCATAATATAAAAATGAATGTAATCAGATTTTGTCTTTTAGTATTCCAGAAGTGCAGTTGGATGATGGATACTCAATACATAGCTACTGAAAGAAATAGTGAGAGCCCCACAAAGATCAATTTAGGCATGAGAGGCAGGTGAAGTCCTGTGTGTCATGC